CCCTGCCGATGAAGAAGCGATATCTGGAGACTCTCAATGTATACCATTGACTTCTTATGGTATGTTGTGTCATATAAAACGATATAAAACAATAGGGACCTAGTGCACAAATTCATGCACTTCGAAAGTAACTGTGGACTGTGAGGCTGCAGTGGACACAGAGGCAAGTCTGGGCCCATCCTCCATGCCCCCACTTGCCCCCCCACACCTCACTGCCCCTAGTCTCCTGTCTGCTGGTAGTTCCACTCGCACCTGCTGATAGCGTGGAGCGATTGGATCCTGCACCAGCAGTGGGTGTGAGTGGTGGCTGCTGCCCCAATCACCCCTCAGGAGCAGTGACCGAGGCAGGCAACCACCACTTGCACCCGCTAATGGAGCTAAGTGATTGGGACTGGTGCTGGATGTTAGCTGCGGGTGCGAGCAGCAGCTCCAGCACCGGCTATAGATACAAGTGGGGCCGGCACTGGCACTGGGTGCAAGCAGTGGCTCCAGCACCGGCAGCATGTGCAAGCACTTGGTGGGACTGTAGGTTGTGAGAACAAAGAATTTTCAGTAATCACCAGAGGTCACCCTAATGACAATGACCAGTGCCCCACCTTGGTCTGGCGCACCCGCTCACCTGCTCCACCATCCCACTATGGCCAACACCTGCCATGTTCTCTACTCTGCCATCTACTGCCAATGTCCATCATGTTCCACATATGACCACTGTGGTCAGTGCATGTCATACTGACCTGTTGTTTGATTGTTCTGCCATTTGGTCTACTTGCATATTAGGGTTTATATATATACAGATACTAGAGGCCCAGAGCATGAAAATTCATGCACTTGAGTGGGGGGTCCCTCAGCCCAGCCTGCCTCCTCTCATAGTCCCGGAGCCCTCAGGGGCGGGAGGCGACTCAGCAATCAGGAAAAGACAACAACCCCATCACACCTCTGCTGCTGCCATTGCTTGGCCGGCCCTGGTTACCTGAGCCCTGGGTGGCCCTGGGCGGCTAGGCAGTTGCCATCTGAGACTTGTGTCTTGGGCTGGCCCTGGGCAGTTGGGGATCTGAGAAGACTGGGTGACTCTGGAGGCAGGCGCATGGAACTAAGGGGATTGGGCACTGCAATCTTTTGGCTGTGGGCACTGCCATCGTTGAGGGCATGGCAGTCAATTAGCCTATTCCCTCCTTATTGGCTGTGGGTGCCACCATATTTGTGAGTGTGTGATGGTCAATTAGCATATTCCCTCTTTATTAGACAGGCTAGCTGCCAGAACATCAAAGCTGTCCATTTGGAATGAGACATGCACTGTAGAAGCATAAATAAACTTGTTTCCTCTCCTTCATGGCTTCCCATTGAATTTAATACGCATTTATTTTGCATGCATCAGGCAAATAGTATTCTTACAAGTGCTAATTTATGAACACCTATCACTAAGTGGTGCCATTGTGATATCATAGAGAGCTCCTCTTTGAATAATTGCTTATGCTTTTTTTATTGGTGGGAAAAAAATTATTCCAGAATGTCAATATATCTAAGGAAGGAAAATAATTCTTATTTTCCTTAAAGTAGAAGTAAGAACCACTCTTGTTGTGGAAATTGTTTAAATCTACCCTATGAATTGAATGCTTCTTATTAGTGTCTTACAAATGTGCTTTAGCAATGTATTAGATTCTTGGTCCAGAAATGGATTATCAAACCTTTTCTAAACAAAGGAAAATGAATAGTTTTAAATAGACCTTGTAAAAATTAGTCCACATTGGACTACTTTTATATACAAGACATTATACTGAATATTATAAGAAACATAATTTTGACCCAAAATAGAAAAATAGTCTTAGTATTAAAAACTAAACTTAAATTTTATATGTAATCTATCACTTTATGTGTTCCCCAGATGTCAATAATCCAGAAAAAAGCAGTAGTTTAGGAATTATTAAATAGTATCCCTAGGCTATTATTCCAACAACTATACATATAAAGGCTGATTCATGAATAGCAAAACTGACATTGTGACAAATTTTTTAAATGCATTAGAATACCTGGCAATGGGTTTTATCTATAAATTTATTTTAAATTCTCAAATTTCCATTTTCTATTCATTTTAACTGTACTCTTTCTAAAAAAGAATACCTATAAAGAAACTTGAAATTGCCTTCTCAAAGTTTTCCAAAATAACAATTATGGTTAAAAAAATTAAGTAAGTAACCATCAGATATAAGTTGAAAATGAATGACCAAAGTAGGCAAGTATAACTACCTTATAAAGAGCTTTATTTGATAATTATTTAATAAGCATCAGAAGATAATTTTTTGGTGGAACTAAAAAAAATTTACCCAGAGAAACACATTGGAAAATTCTTGAAGCTAATCTTTAGGATCTGGCAATGTCTTTTTAAACCCCAGTACTAGATTTTTATGTTTGATTTAACTTTATTCTTCCTCTATGGGGGAGGGGTAATCCTCACCAAAGATTATTTTTTTCCATTGATTTTTAGAGAGAATGGAAGCGGGGAAGGAGGAAAGAAAGAAAAAAGAAAGAGAAAGATGGATAGGTTACCTCTCACTTGTGCCCAGATGGAGCTGACGCTCTAACCACCGAGCATAACCAGCCAGTGCTAGATTTAACTGTCCTAAACTTAAATTTCATGAACCTGATAGATTTTCATTTTAAATTTAGAATGCAGAGAAACAAGAAGTTGATATGTTGAAAAGAACTTTGCTCTTTAAATGAAGAAAATCGATTCTAGTATGCCTTCCTGGACCAGTCACTCTCTATGCATTCTATCAAAACTGTTGCATTAATCCTAAAATCCTGGGTTTTCAACCATCTCACATATTTTGAAATTCTTCTGGTAAAGACATATCAATAAAACAAAATAAAATTTGTAATTTGTCAAAATCAAATAAAAAATATAAAGAAATGAGGAAAAGATCTCAAAAGGTGGTTTAAAATAATCTAAGGTGTAAAAATGGTTGTAATGTACACAGATTTATTACAAAGCCCTAAGTATTACTTGGCCTATAATCTATACTTATAAAAGCCTACGCAACCTTTAAGACAAGACAACTGGCTGGTAACTATGATGTGCACTAACCACCAGGGGGCAGATGCTCAATGCAGGAGCTGCCCTTTGGTGGTCAGTGTGCTCCCACAGCCAACCTACGGTGGATGGACAATCTCCTGTGGTCCCTTCCCTCAGCTGACCAGCCCTGTTTGCCCTGATTGGTACTGGGTGAGATGGCCCCTATTGGTCCCAATCACCGGCCAGGCTGAGGGACCCCCACTAGTGCACGAGGCCTCTAGTAATTAAATAACTCCAATTAATATTTCAGCCTAAACCGGTTTGGCTCAGTAGATAGAGTGTCAGCTTGCAGACTGAAAGGTCCCAGGTTCAATTCCAGTCAAAGGCATGTACCTTGATTGCAGGCACATCCCCAGTATGGGGTGTGCAAGAGGCAGCTGATAGATGATTCTCATCAATGAATCTAACTCTCTATACATCTCTCTTTCTCTCTGTTAAAAAAAAAATTATATATATATAAATAATGATATTTCAATAATCATTTACCAAGTTTGCTTTTCTTTTCAACAGATTAAAAATTATACGTGGACTTGTATATTGAATTTGTGATAATATGCACTAATTATCTCACCCCTCACAGGTTAGCTCCTAAAACACAAGATATATTTAAGGATAGAGTTTGCTTTTCCTATGTTAAGTTTTCTTTAAAATTATATATAAGATATCTTCCCAAAATGCATATACACTTTGAATAATTATTATTTCCAAAAGGTTAAAACTGAAAAGAAAGAAATATCAGTTGTGCTATCAGAAAAAAAGTGTGTACATTTTTTTTGGACACCCTCCATGCAGAGTGGTTAATTGATAGTTTGGCAATTGGGATATTAGAACAATGTAGCATTTAGACAATGGTGCTTTTGTAATGTTTTCTGTTGTATAAGCGATAATTCATTTATATAAAATCTTTGGGGGGGGGGAACTACTTCTCCAGAGCCTAGCAGTGACCGACACATGTTTGAATGAATGAAGTAGACGGAGAATGTCAATATTAATTTATGTAATGATTAGTAAAGAAAAAAAGGACATTCTAGCAGAAGGTCTTCTGTCCACTGTTTGCTTAACTCATTCTTGTCTTTTCTCTTCGGGAAAGTTTTTTGCTTGAGACATTCCTAGAAGGCAAAGACAGAGGCTTAGAAAAGAGAAGGGGTTCGGGACTCAAAATGGTTTTGGGACAGTATGAGGGGCCTAGAGGAAACTGTTTGGCCTGGTAGGAGCTCGGAGAGCCGGCGATCCCACAGCCCTGGCCCCAGGAAAGCGGCCCCCGGCCTCGGCGTGGAACTCCGCGCAGCTCAGGCTGTGCTCGCGGACCCGGCGGCGGCGGCGGCGGCTGCAGGCCCGGCCCAGGGCGCACCCCCCCGCCCCTCCCGGAGCGCGGGCCGCGCGGGCGGAGCGGGGCCGGGGGCGGGACTCGGGGCGCCCCGCCTCGCCCCGGCCCGCGGGTCACAATGTGGGGCTAGGCGGCGGCGGGCGGGGCGCGGCGGGGCGGAGCCGCGGGCAGGGCGGTGACGGCGGAGGGGGAGGGGGAGGGGAGGGAGGAGGACGCGAGCGGGAGGAGGACAGCGCCATTCCGCCGCCGCTCCCTCCGTCCCTCTTCCTTCCCCGCCGGGGCCCCGAGCGCCAGCCCCGGAGCGAGCGCGCCGCGGCCCGGCAGCCGCGCCCTCCCGCCCGCGCCGCCGCCCATGGCCCGCGCCGCGCCGGCCCGCACGGAGCCGTGAAGCCGCCTCCGGGGCCCTCGCAGCCCGCGCCTCGCCGCCTGCCCGCGGTGCCGGCGCACCCCGGCCGCCGTCACCTCCGCGCCTGGCTGGCGGGGGCGCAGTCCGCGGCCGTCCGCGCGGCCCCCCGGAGCCAGGCGGAGCGCGGCAGCCCGGGCCGGCGGAGGAGCGAGGGGCCGGCCGCCGCCGTCTGGGTCGCCGCCGGCGCCGCGGGGGCCATGACCGTGGAGCAGAATGTGCTGCAGCAGAGCGCGGCGCCCAAGGTGAGGAGCCCCCCCTTTCCTCCCTTCCTCCCTCCCGGCCCCCCTGCCCGCGGCCCGGGCTCCCCCGCCGCCCCCTGCCCTGCCCGTTGCCTGCGGGGCGTCGCGCCCGGGGGCTGCTGGTGGGAGCGGGTGTAGTCAGCGGGTCGCAGTCCGCTTCCTTCTGGCCGATTGTTGTCCTGTAACCAACGGTGCGGGGTGCTGACTGAGAGCGACCCGCACATTCCTGCAGTCCTCTCCGTGCTTCTTAACTAAGCTTATCCTCCTTAAAAAAATCAGTTGTCACTCCTGCTGAGCTCAGTTTGCGGTTCGCAGGCAGGCACATTCCAGGCCTGCTGCTCTGCCAAAGGGTCCCCGTCAGAAGTGAGGCGCCTGCCTTGGGGGCAGGTACGTTTACCAGGTGGACTCTGTGTACAAGTAGAGGATTTGATGGTTTCCCTTCCCTCTCCAGTTTCTTTCTTTCTTCTTCTGTCCCCTTATCTGAGTATAGAAAGTGTCCCCTAAGAAAGGAAACCTTTCTGGCCATGTTTATTTCAGGAATCTTTTGTCCCCTAAGTTTGACCTTGTTCATGGTTCACCCTTTACCCTGGCCTCACTCACACATTCAAATGGTCACCTAAGTAAAGTAAAAATAAATAAGTCTGTGTTTGTGAAGCTCCGGCTCTTTTATAGTCGGTAGTGAGAGATGCCCTTTTTCTTCTAGACTTTGCTTTCAGAGTCTCAAGTGCGCTATCATGGATCGAACTACATCCTGAAGAGTAGTTGGCTATGCCTTAGGGTTTTTTTTTTAAGAGGGGTCATTTGTGTGAGAAGCGTTTGAGTAAAAGGAAAGCATTGCTTTAGTCCTGTTGGGATTATAGGGATAACTTGGCTTTACTGTGAGCAGCTGCCAAAGATGTGAGTGGTTCATCTGGGGGAGTAATGAGTGCCCCACCCTGTGGTAGTTTTGGCATAGTTATCCTACCTGTGCTTGGTTACAGAATGAGGCCTGCTGCCCTACAAGGCTCTATTTATATATTCACAGTATGCTAAGTTTTTGCTTTGAGATTGTTTTTAGAATTTTATGATAGTACTTGAAGATGCTCAAGAATTTTGGAAAGCAAGGATAGTGCATTGTTATTTTAGGCTCTTTGGGAAAGTTCTTTTGTAACTCGGGTGTGTTATAGTTGACTGTTACTGGTAAATTTAGAAGGTTCTGCACACTGCTGTTTATTTGCAGTGAAACAATTCTAGATTTAATAATATGAATTTAGAACAGTTTATCTTCTAATCCCCTCTCTATTGTATTTTGAATATCTTAAACTTTAGTTTTTGATATTTACGTGATAAAGTGCTAATTCTTTCAACAGGATTTCGAGGTCATGTGTACTAAGTAACATATAATAAGTTTGGTATCATTTTTGTTAATCTCTTCAGTGTTGAATATTAAAGCCTATTTCAAAGTGGGAAATGTAGGTAATATTTTCTTACATCTCTTAAATTTGAATAATGGCAAAAAGTTTGTTAAATTGATTTTGCTTGAGTACTTCTTTAATATAGAATCAGATAATACAGGTCTGTCTGGATCAGCGGTTTACACATAAAGTTGTGGGATTCAGAATCAAAATACTTGAAAGTGATCTTGGTCATCAAGTCCAGTTTCCTAGTTAATGAACCCTCTCTTACATAAAGAAAGTAGTAGTTAATTTAAAGTATTACAATTACGATGCTATTTTTAGTTTATTTCATTGATTTTGGGGAATTTTTTTAGAACACTATAATTTTTATACTTTCATCATAGTATTTGTATTGTTTAAAAAACAATGTTTAATTTCTTTATTACTATTACATATTGGAACTATTTAAAAATATTTATATGGGTATGAATATTTTACACCACCTACTTCAAATAAATTGATAGATTTAAATCCACCAAACTAGCCTTAGCTGGTTTGGCTTAGTGGATAGAGCATCAACCTATGGACTGAGGAGTCCTGGGTTCTATTCCGGTCAAGGGCACATGTCCTGGTTGAGGGCTTGATCCCCAGTGAGTGGCATGCAGGAGACAGAGTCATTGGTTCTCTCTCATCATTGATGTTTCTCTCTCTCTCTCCCTTCCTCTCTGAAATAAATAAAAATATATTTAAAAAAAGAAAAGAAAAAGATTCACACCCAAGACTTCACTTCTTCATTTATAAATGAATGATGAATGAATAAATAAATAAATAAACCCACCAAACTAGTAACTAGGAAAAGAACTTCAAGCTAGCAACTAGGAAGTGAACCTCATACTTTAGAAGAAACAAAAGTGAAACTTTTGTTTCCTCTTTGAAACTTTATGAATGATCAGTAAAAGGAGAGTGGTGTAATGCACATTGCACAACCAAAATTTTAGTCTATTTTCTACTCTCAAAACAACTGTGTGTGTATGCACTTGTATAACATTAGTTTTATGTAAAATAGCTATATTCTGGTGATTAGGACAGTTCCCAATATTTCCAGTATTTTTTTTCACCCAGAGGATAATCAGTGATAATCTTGAAAAAAAATTTTTTTGAAGCAGCACAACAGAAAACGTTGGCAGCTCTTTGCCTACAGAGAGGCTTATCGCCTTTAATGTACCTCAAGGGCTGTCTTTTCCTCTGATGTGGTGTTTGCTTGATGCTGTGGTTTGTCCATGGCAGATATTTTGGAAATGGGATACAACTGCAGAGAGCTACTTTTCTGAGGTGTAGGTGATACAAGTGAAGTGGAGTTGGAGGCAGATTAGATACAATTAAATCCTGTCTTTTGGTCTTGAAGATGTATCCTAAGCCTTTTTACCGTACTTGATATTTTTCTAAGTGTAGGATCCTTATATCTCAGAAATTTGATACATAGATTCAGATCTAAGTGAGAATTCTTTAGGGCAGCAATAGAAGGCTTCTTCCCAGAAACCACATTAAGTTGTGAAGCGAGCTGAATATTATTTACGTTATATGTATCCGTTTGAGTTGAATAAAATGTAAAGTTTATAAGTGCAGGTATATTGGCTGTTGGTTTCACTGTAGAGTTCCTTGCATGTAGTAGGTTTGAGTAAATATTTGATGGTGAAATAAGAGTGTTTTCTGAAAGGGATGCAAGTGCAGTAGTTATTTTAATTTCCTAACTGAATCTCACGATTTAACGTTATGAGAAACAATGAAAGTTAGAACCAGACAATTGTTGTAATATAGGCAGTGTAGTGATAAGACAGTATGATGTGGGTAGGAACTAAATCACCTTTCTAATACGTTGGGCAATCATTAAATGCCTCTGAATCATCTTTTAAAGCCTCAAAGTTAGTATGATTAGACAACTTCTTTATATCTGAGTGTTTAGTGGATATAAGAATGCATTTATTCCAGATAGAGGGAGGATTAAAGAAGAAATAGTAGAGGATGGAGGAAGAAGGAATCTTATAGCTCAACAATCAATTTTCAATTAATTACATGGGGGTTAGGTGGGAAAGATGACACAGATTAACCAAATTAAGAGTTAAAACAAAATTTAAGACTACAAACTGGATTCGGGGTAAATTTCTTAGGTAAAGTAATGTAGTGTTTTCTCATTTAGGTATAATCTAAAGTTATTAAAATGCAAACAGCATTTTAAAGTACAGTTAACATTATATAAATCACTGTAAACATTACATAAAATGAATATTCTTTAGTACTAAATAGTTGCTTATCTTGCTATTAGGTAAGACTTGGTTTGGGTAGAGAGGTAGGGATCCAGCTGCTTATTCTCTTCTTATTCTTTTATTTCTCACCTAATTTAGATTTGTATACTAACATTGTATCCAGCTTCCTTTATGAATTCTCATCAGTTCTAATAAACATTTGATTGATTTTCTTCAGTATTGTATGTTGACAGTTACTGTTTTATTGCTTTATCTAAGATTATAGAATGCTACTAGGATTAATGTTAGTTTCTATTATGTATTTTATGACGATATGGAAATTTCCTTATAGTTCAAGTTTTTAAAATGTTTTGCAATCAGATTTAGGATGTTGATTCTATCAAGTTTATTTTTTTCTTCTTTAACAACTGATTTTATGTGTCAAGAATGTTGGAATAAATAACATATATGGAATATTTATTATGTACCTAAGGAATTATGCTAAGAGTTTTTTAAACTTTGTTTTGTAATATTAACCACCTTATTAGATGAGCACTATTTCCCCCCCTTCTTATTGTGATTGAGGCAACAGTATTAGAGAAGTTAAGAACTAGAGCAACATTTCATTGTGATTGTGTGTTTAAACTCAGGGTCCAGCAGGTTCAATAGCTCCTGCTCTTAACCATTATGCTTTTTGATAAAATCTCCTTTAGCCGTGATACCTCCAAATTCGTTGTACTAAATTTTAATCTAGAATTTGGTATCAGTATTCTTACATGAGCTTGATTACACAGTTTGCTTTTGTACATATGGGCTCCTAATGGAAGGTTAGATCATAAAATTATTAGAAAGCTTTCTGTGTTTTTCCATGCTTTGGGAATTGTTTACTTTAGGATTAGGTTAAATCCTTCAAAATTAGTGGTATTAAATGATTATTTATCATTCATCCTAATACTTGTTATTTTGAAGTTTTGATGAGTATAACAATATCAAAATGACCATTTTGTTACAGCAAGTTTTAGATAAGCTTTCCAAATTTTTATTGTCTTTTAGATTTTTTACTTCTTTCAGTTCAAGTTCAAGACTATTTGTAGATTCAGATTATATTTCATTTAGGTTTCCATATATATTAGTCTGATCTTTTCTCTTAAATCTATGTATATGTTGATGGATCCCTTTTGTCTTTAATAATTACACCTTTCTACTCATTCATGTGGTTATTGTTGTTTTTATACTTGAATTCACATTTAGTGAATTTGTAATCATGTTTAATAACAAAAAGCATTTTGAACTGTGGATTTTCATCTGGTTTAGTTTTGGTTTTTACCTTATTTATTTTTTCATTACTTAGAGATTGCTTTTTGTTTACTTTCCAAGATGTTGC